AAACAAGATGGATTCGTCTGGTAAGGTTATTTGTTTAATTTTTTCTATAAAATCATATGTATCTTTAATATAGCTGCTATGTAGCGTAGACAAGGGGTATAGGAAGTGGTCAATAAATTCTGCTGTGCCGTAGGTCTCACTGGCACAATCTGACACGATAGGTCTCCCAGGAGGAATCTCATGTGGTTTGGTCCATTTAGTCTGCTCCTTATGTATTTTAGGAAGTAAATAAAATCTCCTCATTCTAGGTTCTGAGGAGCCTAAGAGGTAGTTTTTTTGTTTAGCGTTAATAAATTTCTTTTTGTGTAAATCTTCAATTATTTTGGCCACCAGGGGGATAGTTTCTTTGTAAATGGGTTTGTCTATTTTTTGATAATAAGTGGTGTTGAACAGTTGTCTGTTCGCCTCAAAAACGTATTGTTCCCGGTCCATGATGACAATAGAACTACCCTTATCTGCTGGTTTAATAACAATATTTTTATTCTCCCTCAATTCAGAGAGGGCCTTGTTCTCTGCTACACTTAAATTAGGTTTAGTTGTGCTAATTCTAAAATGCCTGTCAAAGTATTCCAGGTCATTGTGGATCAATGTAACAATATCTGGAGGGAGTAAATTCAAATTAGGGGACCAATTGGATGCAGGCATAAATTTTTTCAAAATAGTATTGCTGGGAGTTGTGGTGACATCTTCCTTATAATAAACTGCTAGTTTGACCCTTCTATGGTATTTCTGGAGGTCAAACCTGGTTTGAAACATCATTTTTTTGTGATCTGTTTTTAACCGTGTGGGGATGAAAGTAAGGCCCTTGTTCAACAGAGAGCTTTGTGCTTCACTCAAAGTAAAATTTTTTGATAAATTATAAACATTTTCATTTTCAAAATTACTTTTATTGGGCCCCACCTGTATAGAGTTTCTGGGGCCAGTTAGTTTAACCAAAGCTCCCAAAGACTCATAAGGGATCTGGCTGTACTGCTCGACCAGTGAACCTGATCCCTGGCCACTCGAAACGTGCGATCATTGATGGCGGGAATGGATTCGTCCAATCTGTTGATATATTCATTCAGGTGAGTCAACATCATTTTTTCTCTCATAGGCAGTTGTTTGGAGAAGTTAACTGCTGGCACAAAGACTTCAGCGTTAGGACACCTGGCCTTAACTATTTTTAGAGCCGTTTTGAATTCCATAATCAGAGAATTCTTGTCTCTCTGGGATCTGTTGTTGATGCCCACAGAGATAATAATGCGCTTAACCTTTGGCATAGTGTCAGCCTTGTAGAAGAGAGCAGCCACGTGTCTCCACTTTGCGCCAGGAAAACTTTGTACGCTTAGGTCAGGATAATTTAAAATTGGGAGTTTATTCACATTAGAGTCACCCAGGATTACACATTTTGTATTTAATTTAATGGACCAATCATGTTTTTTATTAAGTGATCTCTTGTGTTTGATTGAGGGTTTTACCTGGTCATCAGGGAGGGCAGCGATGGTTGGAGACACTTTTTTAACACGTGAGGAAACATAACTCTGCTTTTTAAAAAAGATTCTTCTCTGTGTGCTGGCCTGCAGCCTGCGCCGAAGAGTCATATTATTGGACTTTGGTGAGTTGGGTAGAATTTCAGCAGCAGGTGATTGTTGTGATGGAGATGTCAGAACAGGAAGTGGGGGGAGCAGCACCACGTCATCCAAGCCGACCACTTCATCAATAGATGTGTCCAGTGTTGACATTTGTAGAGGAGTGGGGGGTGGAGCCTCAGACGTCATCCGTTCAGCAGCGTTGTTATCAGTAGACTTGTGGGCGGAGTTCCTCACACGTTGAGGAAGTGGGTGGAGCGTGGGGACCGGGGCAAGTGAAGGCTGCATGCCTGGGTGAAGACGTGTGCTGGGACCCTCATCCCCGGAGTCAGATGGGGACCAATAGGACCGGACGAGGTCAGTCATGGTCGCTGCAGTTCTACAGGTGGGACTGTGTTGGGATGAGGAAGAATCAGCAGAGGGGGGGGCGTGTCTCTACGGGCTGCGGCCGGTTGTTGACATTGTCGGTGTCGATAATCTGTTGTTGCTGCTCACGGTGAGCAGATGGGGGTGTCGAGATGATGTCATGGCCAGCTGTATGCAAAGGAGGTGGTGTGGGCGGCGACATTCTTTGATTCCGTGTAGAAACAGAACTTCGGGTGGGCGTGACGTCATCATTCTGCGTCTCTACAGCTGACGCTCTTTCTCCGCGCGTAAACAAATAGAGTCGCACAGCCTCCACAGTTCGCGACGAAAACCTCCTGCCCAGATTACGTTTAGCCCAGCCGGTGGCTATTTCCAAAGGGGCTGATAAATCACCGCCGAAGCGTAACAGGAAGTCCTTCTCTGCCAGCATTCCGTCTTGGTAATGTTGTTTTAATATCATCATCGTGTTATCAGCCCAAAATCTAGCGTTACCAGCGATTAAGTTTGTGGTTTTAGCGCTGGGTTGAGCTGGTTTAATTACTGTTTGTAAATGATGTGTGATACGTTGAATAGCCGGGGGCATATGGCTGTCGTCCGACACGTTAGCAAGGTGATGCTTAGCCTTTAACAGTCTGTAAATCGCTCTGACCTTTTCAGTGAAGTGCTCGTCATCAGAGCGGTGCTGTGGTTCGGTGGGACGTGTGGCCCGTTGATGGTAGCGACG